AGAAGGAGAAGGAGAAGGAGAAGGAGAAGGAGAAGGAGAAGGAGAAGAAGAAGAAGAAGAGACCAGCAATCATTAAACTGGTGATCCACGTCAGCATGGATTATAATCTCATTTATAGTTTTATGTAGGTTTCATAGTAAATAATTCAAGTCAAGATCATGTCAGGAAACAGCCAACTCTTCTAGCACACATGCTAATTCCGCTCTTTACAGAAATACCAGTTGTTTTTCTAGAACTTTCTAAAGAGAATGCTTCCCAATGTTGAAGCCCTATTGACATTTGCCCTGCTTCCATTATGAAATACCAGAGTCAGGAAAAAAAAAAAAAAAGGCCTTTGTACCCTGAGATAAACCAGTGACAACAAGGTCACCCATCCAGTTCTCCCCAAACTAATTCCTGAAAGTGTGTCCTCCCTAATTTAAAATTAAAAAGAAAAAAAAAGTGTTATCAGGCCTTGGAGATGGCTCAGCAGGTGAAAGCACTTCCCATCACACCTGACATCCTGAGCTGTACCCCAGCGTCTCACAGGGTGGAAGGAAAGAGCAGACCCCTGGGCGTGTCCTCTGACTTGCACATGGCATGTATACCATTCCCCAAACACACATAAAATACAGGCTTTTTTTTTTTTAGGAAGAAAGAATGTCTACCATTTTATAATGCTAGAGTCTGAAATAATGACACACTCTTCGAGAGAACACTGATTTCTGCTGTGAACAGGTAAGCACAAACTGATACTCTTGCAGGGTTTTGGTGGGTTTTTTTGGTTTTTTGTTTGTTTGTTTGTTTGTTTTGTTTTGTTTTAAATCTTGACATTTCTATCTGGGCATGACGGTGCACGCCCGTAATCACGGCATCCTGAGGGTGGTAGGTTTGAGGCTGGCCTGAGGTACACGGGAAGAGCTTGTCTCAAAACAAAGCCGATCAAAAACAACTTCCTCTAAACGCCGACGCACTCATCGGCCGCCTTGAGGTCTTACTCCCTTCTGCCTTTTTAAAAAAGGATTATTGAGACGTTGCCCCTGGGCCATGTGGCTCACTTAACGGTAGAGTTGATTTAGTATCTTAAGGGTTATGCAAGCACAACCATGGTCAATTCAGAACTTACCTTTCACCCCAGTACAAACCCTGTACCCATCGGCAAACACTCCCTTGCCTACTCTGACCCTCACTCCAGGCCTCGGGCAGCCAGCCAACCGTTCTCCAGGCTCTACGGATTTGCCTGTGTCGGGTATTTGATATCAGGGGAATCACGCATGTAATATTTTTGACTGCCATCTTTCACCTGGCCTAACATTTCCAACATCCGAATTAGGGTACTTGTAATGCAAAAAACGAGTAATCGTGACTCGGATGAGGATCACCATGAATCTATAGCTCCCTTTGGATGCTGTGACCATCTTAATTTTAATTCGTCCAATCCCTGCCCACGGGTAGAAAGATGCGTCCCACACGCCAGTATCTCTTTGATGTTAACTCACTTTCCCGGTGAGAATCCGAGCTCTGAGCTTGTCTGTTGGATGGGAACCTACAGATCATTCTCAGCAGGGTGCCCGTGTGCACCTAGGGAAGGAGGCCAGGAAACTGCTGACCATGGTGCGAGCAGAGCCCGGCGTCTGACCTCACATGCTCACAGGAGGTGTGTTTGCAAAGCACGTCTAGGTTGCTTACAATCCGTTAACGTTCCAGAGGGCCACGCTTTTTTGACACCAGCAAACTTCCTACCTGGGCGGCCTCCCAGCTGCCGGAAGGGCCAAGAGCTGGGAACGCTTAGCAGGTGTTTATGTCGCCCAGAGATGATCTGTCAAATTCTTGGAACCCGAAGGCACACAGAAGGAAGAGAACTTCACCTCAGCCACTGGGGGGGTGGGGGTGGAGGGGTGGGGCTCAAGTTCAAATTGAAGGTGTAAACAAAACAGAGAAAATAGAGCTACTGTCAAAGTTTGCTCACAGGCCGCCCTAGCGGCCCCTTTGTGAGTGTCATTCATCTGCCCGTGCGCAGTTGTTTGAGTTTCCCAGGCTGAGTTGAAAACTAGGGAACACTTGCCGCCTAATTGTGGTCAGGACTGTCGACAGGTAGGTGTGCTCCTTCCTTGGGAGGTCAATCCACAGCTTGCAGCCCTTTGTCTCCAGCTTTTCATCCAGGTTGTTTAATTCGGAGACTCGGGACACTGATACAGAAAAGCGTTTATGGTGTTTTTGTTTGTTTTAGTTTTTCCCCAGAATGTTAAGCTTAGGGACCGGGGAGGATTTTTAAGGGCCATCCAGGACTTCCGATATGTCATGCCTCCCTGGACCTAGATAGAGCTCAGAACTGTAAGGCTGAGTCATTTGGTTTTTAAAAAGGGAAACCGTGCCTGCCTATGCACGCACAGCCGCTCACATCAGCTCAGAACCTTCAGGTTCGGAGCACTAAATATTCATTTCCTTACCGGAGAAACTGGGTGGTGGGAGTCCACCATAAGGCACGGGATGTTTGTATGTGTCGTTTGAAATCTGCCCAGTGTGCATACAGCCCTCGACACCCCAGCACTTTCCCGAAACCCCAAACTTCTCCCACCGCCAACAGCAATGGTAGGAATGAACCCGGGGTCTTGTACTTACTAGCCAAGCACTGTACCACTGAACTACATGCCCAGTCATTCTCACCACGATGTCCAACTGCTCATCTGGATTATTTTGTGGAATGACAGCCTCTGGGCAGAATCCTGTTAGCAATGCCAGGTGGAATTATCCGTGCAGGAAAAGCTCAGACTCTTGTTGAAAGATCTGTTTTCCTGTTTATTTCTTTGGAAGCAGGAGACCGGAAAAGAGGAGCCAGACAATTCTGGAAAATGTCCTCCAGAGTGGCACACAGGAAACGGGCATCTTTATCATCTCAGTCATTTTACATTCCCTCATTATGGATTTGATAGGGACGTGCATTTTCTGGGGGACCAGCTGAACTAAAACACGGGTCAGAAGAGGGGAGGTTGGTGCTTATTTCTGTCAAGATAATTCTTTGGGTGTGACTGGCAGGGTCAAGACCCTAAGTTCCTCTTCTAATTAAGAAAGCCTGCCTTGGTGAGCTCCCTCCAGACTGTGATGGTCTAAGGAAAGCCCTGCGAGATTTGTCCCTCCCTTCTGTGAGAGAGGCATTGGGGGAAAACCGTTAATTGGCAACTGCACTTAAGAGGGTTTGTGGACAAAGCGCTGAAAGACCCCAACACCCCTCATTTGCAGGTCAAGCGAAGCTAGTTCCACTCTGTTCCCCGCAGACTGGCTAAGGGATCTAGGCAAGGGTAGGTGGTTGTTACGACAGGCTTCGAAGCCAAGATATTGAAAGTCTGAAGATATACACATACATACACACCTACACCTACATATACGGTTGGTCCTTAAGTAAACTTCTAAAATCAGCACATCCACCAACAAATAGATGATATCAGGATGGCTGGTGTTGGTTATTACAATCTAGAATAGCCTAGGAGAGAAAGATCTGGACGTGCCTGTGAGGGATTTTATGTAGTAGGTTAGCTACGATGGAAACACCCATCCTAGCTGTAGCATCATTCCATGGGCTGGGGTCCCAGAATGAATTAAAGGAAGCAATCCGGATGAGCACAGCATTCCTCTTTCACCGTGCCTTCTCCTCCATGATGGATTGCACCCCCTTGGAACTGTGAGCCAGAGGAAAACCCTCCCTTCCCAAGTCGATTTAGTCCGGTGTCTTGTTACAGCAACAAGGAAAAGTATCCACACAGAGATGTAGCGGGTAATAGACCACTCTGGGCCTTAAGACTGAAACCCCTCCCCAGAGAAAACACATCACAGCGAAGCATATGTGACAAAATTTATTTTTAAAAAAAAAAGAAAAAAATAATTTATACCCTTGACAAAATAAAAGATCTTAAAATATAAATGCTTCTTAAAAATATATGAAAAGATAATATAACAAATATTAATAAATCAATATTCACATGACAGCAAAAGTGGCCAATGTTTCCACAAGGAGGCTAGGAGAAGGACACTGGCCTATACTCAGCAATATCTCCGGCAAGGCCTCCCTTTCCTTTTTTTGTTTTCCTCTTCCAATGAGGTGTGTTCCTGTTTAAAGAAAACCTGATACAAGGGAATCTAATCAGTTAGGAAGCTGATCAGTTTAGGAAGCTGGTATTTATTTGCACAGCAAAATAATTCTTTACAAAAAAAAAAAAAAGATCTGTCGGGGATCCTTTAAATAGGAAGTTTCCCAATGTGTTTAGAATATAATTAAGCAGATTCACATGTCCTCAACCCCTTTCCAGTATAGCTCTAACGTAAAGAGTGAGCTATGCTCCAGTGGGGCAGCAACAGAAGTGACTTCGGACCTGACTGGAAAGGACCTTTCCCATGACAGCCTGAGGATATGGGTGTGTCTTCTGCTTCTCCCATCCTGAGCTCTCGCTTTTATTGTGGTAAGAAGCTCTCAGCTTCTTTCTGGTAAACTGTTCACCTCGGGATGAGGAAGTTATATGGCGTGTATGTGTGTGTGTGTGTGTTTGTGTGTGTGTGTATGTGTGTGCGTGCAGGTGGGGGCTAACGAACTCATGAGTCACTCAAGCAGAGCCGAATGAGGGGAGAATGTGGGGTTCCGGGTGTGTGTTGGATGTGATTGGGGGGGAGGAGGAATAACCTTCAATTCTTGATGCGATGCTTTTGAGGTCCCTTTCCCAGAAGGCACATCGGAGCCCCTGAGGACGAGCAGCCCGGCCCAGCCCTCCCTGGATGGGACTTGTCTTCGGAAGGATGCTCGAGGACCTATTTGTCACACTCCTCCTGACTGCCTTCAGCACAGTGGTAGTGCTGCTCACAGAACTCCCGGATCCGGCTGCAAGCCTCCAGCATCATCACCTCGGGGACTGTGATGACAACTCGGAAGAAGTTTGGATACTCGAAGCACTGCAAAAGACAAGGGCATGTTACCTCCAGGGCAGCCGGATCTGATGCTGGCTCAGCTTAGCATAGCCAGGCCTCTAGTTGGCAAGGCAGGGTAATGCCATTGCAAACCGGGGTGGCATTTCACTCCACGGGAGTGAACTTGAGTCAGCAACTGAGCTAATTCATCTTAAAAATAGACAGTTTTCTTCCCAACCACACTGAGTGTTTTCTTCCTGTTACAGAGGGGATAAGAATGGAGGAGAAACTAATTTCAGGCAGAAGCTGTAAAACACATCAGTTTTGGAATCTTATCAAATGAGAACACTTGGTATGGGAGCAAATATTAGGCTGAAACGCAACTCAGGAAGAGCTCCGTGGTCTCCAGGAGCTGTCGGAATGGCTGGAGGCACTCACTCACCGTTGCCGGGAGGCAGTGGACAGACTGTTCCGCAATTAACCGCTCTGTGAACTCCACGTCGTTCTCAAATTCTGGGAAATGTTCCATCTCAATTCCTACCTGAACCAAAAACAAGAGAGAGAGAGGCTGGAGTGTAAATGGAGGAACACAGGCCAGTTTCTGATGCCAGGGAGTTCTTGAAAGCTGCCTGGGAACTCTGCCGCCCATAACTAATAACACCAACACTGGGGAATGCAGGAGCTTCCTACAGAAAGGAGGGAGTCGTGTTAGCATTCATATTTTAGTTTATTGAAGGGTTCTGGATGTTGAAAAATGAAAATAGGAAAAGGAATGCAGTTTTCCTTTTCTCAAAAAATGTATAGTTAGCATTAGAACAAGGTTATTTCCTTTTTTCTTTTCTTTTTTTTTTTTTTTTTTTTACTTTGGGCACGGTCTGTCCCACCCATTGCAGGACAGTAAGCAACCCTGGGCCTCAAATGGCAATAGTGACACTGAAGACAAAAAAAAAAAATTCTATGTGGCCCCCCTACACCTGAAGGAACCAACATCACTCTTAGTCACGAACCACAAAGCATGCCCTGTATCCATGAGATGAATTACTGTACTGACATATTAGGCTATTGAGAGAGTGTTGTGGACACAGGAGCTGGGACAATTCACAACAAGACAATTTTTCAAATAATGGGAACTAGCGCCTAACTCATCTTTATGGATGGAGGCGTATCCTGCAGGACCACCCATGATGATCCTGCCAAGCCAGTGTCCTGTGCTTTATCACACACACACACCACGCACACACTTACCATAAGGTACATGGCTCCAGAAGGGCGGACTGGCTGGAGTCCAGGAATGGCAGCCAATGCCCCATAGCAAAGGTCCGCATTGGACTAAAAGAAGAGGCAGAGAGGGGGGAAAAAATTCAAGGATCAAATGTTAAGTAAAAGAGAATAAAACCCTGTCACTTAAAGTCCTTAGGAAGAGAGAGTGCATTACAGACATGAGAGGGGTGAGCCTGTGGAGAATGGCACTGGTATCACCTGATTTGGAAGTCCCACCCTGAAACAGTGCTGCAGAAATGAGGGACAACCATTCCTAATTCCGCTGATGTGTTCTCTGACTCCCAAAGTCCTCAAATAAAAGGCCACAAGCTGCCCTTTACCTTAAGGAAGCTTAAGGTGTCATGGTAGAACTCTTGAGGGGTTCGCTGAAGGATGCTCTTCAGAGCTCCTTGGACGATGGTGCACGGTCCCAGGATGCGCTGACTCAGCTTCACCAGCCCATCTCGAATCTAGAATCCCACCAGGAAACAAATTATTTAGCCTTTCTTAGGCCTCCCTGTGCCGTGACCCTATTCTGACCTTTCTGTCAGGTTTTTAATCTCAGGAAAGATGGCACACAGTGGCCCTCTCACATTCCACCACCTGGGTCCACAGACCTTCCTTCTCTGTCACAAACCCACGTGTGAACGTGGGCAGATGGCATTAACTTCTCTGCACCCTGTTTTTCTTGACTGTAAGATGCTCTGGTAGGGTGTCATAAGGATGAAATAAAAATGGGGCCCATAAATCATGAATAACAGTGCCGTCACTGCTGCAGTTGCTTGCTTGCCTTTTTATATACAGCCTTAAAACTGGAGGGGAGGATGGGGCATGGGGGACACCCAAATAGGAGAAAACCAGAAAACCGGGCTTGGATGAGGAATGTCTATCCCTGTCTGCGTCCATCGAGTTTCCGGGCACCACGAACAACACAGGCAGGAAGGGGAAGAAACCCTACCTCCGCAACATGGGGTATCCAAACCAAATGCATATGCCAAATTATCCACACTATTTTGCCATATTGCCCTCACCTCGTTGCCAAAAATGTCTCTTCGATCATGGATGAGAATCCAGCCCATCCTCCAGCCAGGAACCAGCCAGCGCTTGGCCAGCCCACCACAGGACAGGATGGGGACATTGGTGCTGAGGGTGGCCAGCGGTTCATATTTGCGATCTGAAAACACCTGCGGACAAGAGGTGCTTGTAGATGCTTTCCTCTAGACCCCACGCCTTCCTCCCATCCCTTCTCTTAAATGTTGAGGGACAGGGTAACGGATTGACAGGCCCCTTCCCACCCTCAGGCATGACCAGCTCCCACGTGGTTCTGGGAAACTTATCCAAAGACGTTTAATTTGGTGTGTGGTCTGGACTGAAGGAAGCCTAAAATGAAGACAGTGACACTAGCCCACTAGCATGTACAATTACTGGGAACTCACACTGCAGAATGATGACTGGTGGAGTTATGAATTTAAAAATAAACCGATCTCTAACCCTCCTGGGCCCAGCTATGTTGCAGAATGTCATACTTTTGGAGGGACAAAAAGACTCCGAAGCTCATTACGGGTAATATTCCCAAAGAAGTCTAGAATAATCCTTCCTCATCAGTAACATCAACAGTCCTTCCTCTTCCCTTGCACTTTTTCTTTTAATTTATGATGCCAGGAATAGGAGCCAGACTTGAGCATGCCAGCTAGCCATACACGTACCCAACAACTGAGCTACATTTTCAGAACTGGCCCCCCCTTCCACAACTCCTAAAAATACACATCCATCAGAGACATAAACAAGAAATCTACAAATACCTTTATAATCCATCACCTTGGCACCTACATTCAAGTAAGTTCCAAGAACGTCCGGATTTTCCTAGCTCTTTTAATTAATTAAATAAATAAACAAACAAAAAGCTAAGGATTCGTGGTCTGTGCACTTATGGAGCAGGCTGTACAAGAATGGCCAGTTGCTTCTGACTATTCCCTTAGCCAACCTTCCACGTCCCAGAAAACAATGTGGTATTGAGACTCCTATAGTGATGTAACCCAACCCAGACTTACCATGTCACCGTAGATCTCATCGGCCAGGATGGGGACGCACTGCCTTTCAGCCACTGAAAATAACGAGAAAACCGTGCCACAATCATTTCCGGTTCCTCCACGCCTAGTCCTCTGTGCCCTGCATTCCATGCTCGTGGCTCTGATCAGCCTCTTAGGGACTCAATACTTCTGTGTTCTTCCAGGGTGTCTAGCCTGCACGTGCCACTTAACCACACATTTCAAACTCTCTTCCACAGGACGGTAGTGGAGAAAGGCAAACACAGCTGAAAAACCTCTTAACCAAAGTGCCTTGGATCGGGGATATTTCAGATTTGAGTGCTTTATTGTTTCTCTTTCTTGGGGTGTTTGTTTGTTTGTTTGTTTGTTTGTTTGTTTGTTTTGGACTTTAAAGGGGGGGCAGGCACCTACATTTATATAGAGTTGAACATTTGAACATTTTTAATCTGGAATACAAAATGCACCAAAATGGAATGTTTGCTGTTTTGGGATTAGGGATGTGCAGCCTGTATTTCTCATTCCTCCCTTCTTTTAGACAAGTCCTGGGGTCCATGACACATCATTTAGTAGAGTCACTCAGACTCAAGGCTTAGGGACAGACACACTCTGCCACAGGGAACAGCTAAAGGGATTTGCTCTCACCTCCTCCCCTGTGCAGGGGTTCGGGGGGAGGTGTCTTCAGCACTTACCTGCCAAAATCTTCTGAAGGTGCCTCTTACTGAACACTGAGCCGCAGGGATTTGACGGGTTGTTGACAACGAGACAAGCTGTCTTTTCATCCATCAGAGATTCCAGGTGCTTCAGGTCAATTTCCCAAGACTTCTCAGGCTGAGAAAGAAGAACGAGTGAGACCAAGATGTTTCTGAACAGTTTAGGGGGGATACTCAGCCCAAGGATTTGGTGTAAAGAGTAAGATAAGGGATCAGTGAGATGGCTCAGCTGGTAAAGGGGCTTGCCAGCAAGCCTGGTGCTCTGAGTTCCAGCCCTGGCTCCCACGTGGTAGGAGCAGAGAGCTGACTCCTGAAATTTGTCCTTGACTTCCACACATGTGCTATTGCATGCACACACTAAACGCACTGCCCCAATCACACACACAAACATACACACAAAATAAACCAATGTAAACCAATTAAAGAATAAAATCTGCCTTTGGCTCTAACCTCCCACCTGCAGACCATTCTCTGTATGACAAAGATCTCCCCCCCCCCCCCCACAGGTTAGTAACTGAGCACTTGGGTCAAAAATTAAAAGTTAGGACCTGGAGATCGATGGCTCAGTGGTTAAAAAGTACTTGCTGTTCTTACAAAGGACCCAGGTTCAAGTCCCAAAACCCATGTGATGGCTCAAAACCATCGGTAACTCCTGTTCCAGGGGAATTAACACCCTCTTCTGACAGGCACATAAACATTAAAAAACATTTTTAAAAAAATGAAAGAAGATTACCAGTAGATTGTAGAGCTTGACTTCAATTCCCATGGATTCAGCCAAAGTCCTATAGAGGGAAAACCCAGGCCTCGGAATGAGGATGTTTTGTCCAGGATTGGCTAACACAGCAAGACAAAGCTCAATGGCCTGACTGCAGCCACTTGTCAGAATGACATCCTGTAAAGAGAGCAAAGGGCAGACTCAGGGAGAGCTTGTCACATATGTGAGTTGGAAACAATAATGAATGTACTTAGGAAGTCCCAAGGAAATAGAAGGGTTGTGCTGAGCCCAAACCACATCTATGTATCTATCTATCTATCTATCTATCTATCTATCTATCTATCTATCTATCATCTATCTATCATCTATCTATCATCTATTTATCTATTGTCTACTTATCTATATCTATTTATCATCTATATCTATCTCTCATTCATCTATCCATCTATTGTCTATACATCTATCATTTATTTATCTATCTCCTATCTATCATCCACCTGTCATCTATCTATCCATGTTTATCTATTTATCTATCTATCTATGGTCTAACTATCATCCATCTATCTGTCATCCTATCTATCTATCTACCATCTATGTATGTGTCTGTTTCTCTACTAACCATCTATCCCTAAATGTTGTTGAAAGTGATAACCACTTAAAAAAATAAGCTAATCATTTTAAAGAGAACAAGCTGGCTATGATTCAATCAACTCTCAAGGGAGATCTTTGATGGACCTTGGACTGTTTTTCACCAGGTTATTTATTTACTTTTGATCAGGGATTTGAAGCCTGATTTTTCTCTGAACACAAACGAGACACCCCTTCGATTAGGAGGCGGACAATAAGAAGGAGGACAGCATCTAAGGCTGGCACTGCCACCGATCCATGCCACGAGACCCCTAGCATTCTGTCTCAGTGTCCTAGAGTGAGTGAAGACACATACACATACATATACATAAACACATCCTACTCATAAATTCTTTTGAGTTAAGTAATTTTCTATTTGTGAACAGTTCCTCAATGATCTTTTGAAGAAAACAAGATCTAGGATGACCTTGCGGGTCCCTTGAGACTCGGCGACAACAGCACAGTGGTCAGAGATGCCCCTTACACAGTTGTGATTTTAATCACGGTAGCTAATCGGTGGCCCCTACCATGTAAGAAGTCCTCAACTTGCTAAAGCTCCCCTCAAACCATCATTCACTCCCTGGGGGACAGAAACAAGGAGTATGCTTGCCCTCAGCGGCCTCTGAGCTGGGACCCCGGCTCACCTTAGCTTCCAGTGGGGCCTCGGGACAGTGGTAATAGGACGCAACCTCCTCCCGACTGGATAGGTAGCCTGAGACGAGACAGAGACAAAGCTGGAGGTTTTCATCCCTCGATTGACAATCATGCCCAAACCTCAGCACAGTTTCCATTTGCCTCCCGTCTTTGCTTAGGGCCAGGTCATTCTGTGTAGCCCAGTCACCGTATGTGAAGGGAATGAACTTTATTTGTCGCTGTTTTATTGAAAGTACAAATGTATAACAACAAGAAGCAGCAGCTTCCCAAACCATAACATTCACTGCATAAGCTTGACTAATATGAGTATGTTTTATTCTGCCTTAAAAAGGGTTTAGATTATTCTTAAATCCCTGTATATGGGGTCTATTTTTTTTTAATACCATCAACAGTTTCAACTCATATGCTTCACGTAAGTGTACCATACTTATAATACAAGGGTTCTCTTTTTCTGGGACATTCCTAGTGTGGCATGCAGGCTTGAAGTATTAGAGGATTCAAATCTATTATAATGTTTTACAAAATGCCTTTCAAGAAGACAAGTTGGCAAGAACACAAGTTGATTTCATTTTCTTTAACTTAAATGATACTGCCAGGCGGTGGTGGCACACACCTTAATCCCAGAATTTGGAAGGCAGAGGAAGGTGGGTCTCTGAGTTCAAGTCCAGCCTGGTCTACAGAGCAAGTTCCAGGACAGCCAGAGCCACACAGAGAACCCTGTCTTGAAAAAACAAACAGAAATACTAATGGGTCTTTCAAGCAACATTGATCAACCTTCCCTACTTTATTAATGAGGAAAAATAGGTTCCTAGAGACAACCGTCATCTGCAGTCCCTTACTGTGCAATGTGAGACCCTTTGAAGACTTGTCAGATAAAAGCTGATTCCAGTTTCCAACCTTAATTGGTTTCCTAATACTCTGAATAATAAAATTAATTATTTGTGTATCGTGTGGGCATGCATGTGTGTGGAGGTTGGAGGACAGCTTTGTGAGGTCGGTTCTCCCCTTCCACTCTGTGGGTCCTGAAAATTGAACTAAGATCATTAGACTTGGCAGCAAGCATTTTTTTTAACCTACTAAGACATCTCACTGAGCCTCATTATAATGTTTTTTGTAACCTAATTTTGAGTCTTGAATTTGATTGTTGTATGCTTCTTTCTAATAAGCAAGTAATCTACCTAAAAGCCATGTCCCTGATTCCTCTTGAAAAAGCTTTTAAATCTGATGTTAGTATGAAACTGGATTTTTAAAAAATTCTGCATTAAGAATGGTTCAATGTATATAATACTCAGTGGGAGATACGCAACATGAAAATAAAGCCATGGAATTAACTTATTTTACTGAAATTTTTAGGGGAGACATTTTTGCCAGGTGGAGTTTCCCCTAAATGGGAAAGTTTATCTTGCTCTCAGGAGTGACCTCAACCGTCAATGTATCAGCCATTCTTTGCTACATTTCCTCTTAAACTTTTTTTGTTTGTTTGTTTGTTTTGAGACAGGGTTTCTCTGTGTAGCCTTGGCTGTCCTGGACTCACTTTGTAGACCAGGCTGGCCTCAAACTCACAGGCAGCCACCTGCTTCTGCCTCCCCAAGTCCTGAGAACAAATGATTTTCAAAGAGATCAAGGCCAAAATGAAAACAAAGCTTCAAACCACAAAGAAATAAAGGAAGTATTTACAGGAGGCAATGTGTAAATAAATTCAGAGCCTAGAGGGCTGAGCACCAGCCAGACTCGCCTCCACGGTGAGGAGGGGCAGGCCTGTTTGAGGGATAACTCATTCGAGAACCTAATAAGGAGGTGTCAGCAAGCAGATAAAATCAGGAAAGAAATTAGACTTTAATAGCTGTGTTTAAGAATCCAGCGTGAGGCCCTTTCACTAATCTAAAGGGCTGTTTCATCTTAGGCTCTTCAGGACACACATGATGGAAGGAGAAAGTTGTCCTCTGACTGCCACACACACACACCATGGCACTTTCACTCCCCCTGGTTCCCCCCACCCCAGGTGTGTGTGTGTGTCTGTCTCTCTCTCACACACACACAAATAAATACATTTAATTTAAAAAAAAATTAAACATCAGGCATGTTATCACATGCCTATAATCCCAGCTCTTGAAAGTCTAAAGCAGAAGAATTACTACTTTGAGGTCAGACTAAGTTATGTAGCAATGATCAAACCCAGAACAAAACAAGAAAAAGCACTACGGAGCTTTTAAAGCCACCAGGATCACCTCTGTGTAAGCTTACCAACGGACGGAGCATAGCCATTGTATTTCCCCGAGTCCAGGGCATCTTTCATGGCTTGGGTAACTTCAGGGTCTGTAGGCAGATTTCCAAACTCAGTAGGGTCTCCTGTTCATGAGAGAGAAAAGCAAAAGAGCCGCCATGAGTTTTCACCCCCGTGGCTGGGTCTCATCTCCTCTCACCTCTTCCAGCCAGCCCAAGAGGGCGGGAGGTGGGTGGGCGATGCCACCCCTCCATCAAGTGACCCAAACTCACCAATTGACAGAGAAATCACGGTTTTGTTTGGATTCGGCTTCACTTTCATGTTGTCCACAATGGCTCGGATGGGATTGAAAGTTTTATTGGACATGTCGGAGGGCCTCACATTCCATCTGGTCTTCCTGCCTTTCATTTTTCCCTGCACCGAGCTTCTCCCAATATTGACATGGACATCCAGAACTGAAGGCAGGCCGTCATTGCCATTCGTCTGAATCACGTAGGAGTCCATGGCTTACAAAGCCTACAGGAAAAAAGAAGCACAACTCTGTGATGACGAGAACACGTTGGGCTGGGGAGCTATGTCTGGACCTAAGCAGGAGTGACATCACACGTGCTTCTAACTCTTCTGTAGTCTTTCACTTGTAAGGCAGCCTTGCTATGAATAAGAGGGTTTAAGAATGTCTTGTGGAAGGGCCAGGCACACTCGCCTTTCTAATCCCAGCACTCGGGAGGCAGAGGCAAGAGGATCTCTGTGAGTTCAAGGCCAGCCTGGTCTACAGGGTGAGTTCCAGGACAGCCAGGGCTACACAGAGAAACCTGTCTCAAAAAAAAAAAAAAAAAAAAAAAAAAAAAAGTCTTGTGGAGATAAAAAATAAAGTAACAACCCATCTTTACAAAATTAGCAGAAAGTATTTAACTGAACACTTATCTAGTGCAGATGAGATTTATTTTCTCTTGTCTTTTATTCAGGTGTGTACATTTGCACACCCATGCTTCCGTGAGGGCTAGCATGTTCCACTACAAATGTGTGGAGGTCAGAGGACAGTCTCGGATGTCAGTCCTCACCTTCCACCTTGCCTAAGACAGGATCTCTGCCTCAGCTCGCTGTGGGTTCTGGGATTACAAATGAGCACTGCCACATTTGACTTTTCACGGGTCCTAGAGATCCGAACTCCAGTCCTCACACCTCAAGGGTAACAAGTGCTTTTCATACTGTACCATCTCCCTGGCCATGTGTAAGTGGGATTTCCTATCTTCAGCTCTAATCTCTATGCCCTAAGCCAAACCAAGAAAAGAAGACAGGAAAGCATTCATCAAAGCATGTGTCCACAAAGAGAACCCCTGAGGAAGCATCTTCCCAGTACCTCAGCCTGAGCACCCTGGCAAGACCGTATCTCAAAAACTTTGTAAAATTAGTGAGTCACTTGCCTATCAGTGCCAGAGAGAGACCTGGAGATTGATGCCAGTTGAAATAAAATCATCTCAGGTAAGCCTCTCAGCCCTAGCAGAAAGAAAGCCGGGAACACCTCAACCACCATCACAGAGCAGAGTGCCTCGGGGATTACCTTCCAAGACCAGGCAAAGCAGCCTCCAAGCAGCCAAAGCTGTGAGCTCACAAGCACACCTCCACCAAGAAGTCCTGTGATGATGAGTCTAGGCACAACCCTGACCCTTGAAATAGTTTCAGCCAATGGGCGTTAGGTCTGAAGCCCTGATGCTATTGGTTGAGAGTGAGAACTAAGCCCTCCCCTGGGCCTCCCACACACTCCCTCGGCTGTTTCTCACCCTGGGCCACCATCCAATCCGGGATTTGTCCTCAGCTCAAGCACCTGGAATTGTCTGTATTAACTCTTCCTGGGAGGTTTGAGAACACTCTGGAGGGTAGTCAGGATAACAACTTCATTGTCCTTTTTGTTATGAAAAGTATGTTAACAGTATAGAAATACGTTAAAAACAAGGGTCCTCTGGCACCTCTTTGTACACTCTATTCTCACTCCTGGACATAGGCAATGACAAGGGCTTGGTTGAATATTCATCTACTGTATGTGGGATTTGCTATGGACAACTACAATTTCCACAAAAGCTCAACAAAACTCCAAGTAAAAACAAACAAACAAACAAACAAAAAAAGAGTTCCATCAATTCACCAAAATAGGTGAGTCAATGGATAGATAAATAGAAATACAGAGATACACACATATATGATTTAATAACTTTCAAAGCACAGGTAGAATCATGCTCTCCAGCTTATTTGACAAGTATACTTTTTATTGTCCTCATCCTTATTGTTATGACTTTTTCCTATGCCTTAATTCCCTTTACTTAGCCTATTATAGAATTTTAGACTCCAGTTAGAAGAAACTGGGCAGTTAAAACAAATTAATAACCAATCAAAGCACAAGGTAGCCAAAATCTCTGCAGCTCTGTCTTCATTAGGTGTATGAAACTGTTCAAGTGTGCATTGACTTAGGATCTGATGGGAGGGGGAGAATTTCCAAGTACTGGGTTGTTGGTTTTTTGTTTTGTTTTGTTTTTCACTAAATGGAAAAAGCCCCAAAACAGCTTGTAACTGATCACAATAATAAAGGAACTAACAACAGTAGTCCCAACGCCTCCCAAGCTAAAGCGCATAATCTGATTGCTGGGCATGTTCCCTGCCCCTCCAACGGGCACAGACAACAGCTATAACACCATCCCCAAGAGGCACTAGACTGAGATTTGTGTAGTTGCATCTCTGAGCATGTGCAGAGCTTCCGAACTCACAGGGCACAGGTCTACAATGTCCACGTTCTGCAATGGAGCTGAAAAGGTGGAGTGAGATTTAGATGCACAAGGCTCACATCACCCTGGCCACAACAGAGCTCTAGTGCCCAAAGGCACACATCTCCATAACCTCCAATAAAAGCTACAGCAAGCCCAAGCTCGGGACCCCCCACAGAGTCACTCCTGGTGTGCCCTCCTTGTGGCTCTAAATTCTAGGTTCCACTCATTAAAATCTCATTGGCCTTTCTGTTGGTCCCTGTCATTTATTTGCCCAGAGAAGCTCCCAATCTTAGTCACCTCACCCAAGAATCAAAGCATAGGTCCAATTCTCAAACAAAAGAAGCGAACAATCTCTTTCCTTTACTTTCTATAACGTTATTGAGAGAATAATACATCAAACAGAAACCGAACAAAACAAAGCAACTCAGGGGCTGCTTTGTTTTGTGGAGACGGCTGTCTTGTAAGCATTGGGACCTGAGTTCGGATCCCCAGAACCCACATAAAGCTAGGCATGGCCGTGCAGAGCCTGTCTTCCCAACACTGTGAGTATAGAGAGAGCAGGCTCCCTGGGATGTTGTGGCCAGCCAGTGTGGCTCAGCTGGTGGAGCCTCGGGGTCAGAGAGAGACACCCTGTCTCAAAAAGTAAAGAGGAAGGGCCAGTGGTACAGCTCAGCGGTACAGCGTTTGTGTTGGTTCAATTCCCTGTATAAAAAAAAAAAAAAAAAAAAAATGTGGAAAGTGACTGAAAAAGACACCCAATGTCCCAATGTCAACAAGAAAGTCCACAGCAACACCCTGCTAATTTATGAAATATACAACCAATTCAAAGGTTAAGGAAGACAAGACTTGGTGACTCCCCCAGCTCAGATCCTGTTTGTCGGGACCCAAGTTCAGTCTATGTCATCTGATTTGCAGGGATCAATGTCCCCAGAGTATTGAACAATTCGGGTTTTTTTTTTTTTTTTCTGGACTTTCCAGATCGGGTCTAGCCATCCTCTTCCCCCTCCAGTGAGACAGGCAGAGACATCCTCGTCTTCCCAGCGAAGAACCAGAGGCACCAGGCAAAGGCAGCCATCTAAACCTTTCATTCAAAAAGAATCTAACTTTAACACCAGAAGCCCTGAGCCCTCAACTCAATCGCCAGGGCTTCTCTGCCTGAAAAGCAGAAAGGGAAGTGGCATATGGCCCAGGTGATAAAGTCCTTGTCACTGGCAGGCATGAGGACCTGAGTTTGAGTGTTCAGCACACATCTAGAAAGCTGGGGAGAGGAAATAAACTCACATAATTTACTTCTGTCTGACTCTTGTTTGCTTGAGACAGGGTCTCACTATGCAGGCCTGGCTGTTCTGGAACTCACTGCGTAGACCGTGCTGACCTCAAACCCTCAAAGATCTGCCTGCCTCTGCCTCCTGGCCTTCAAGGAATATGTGACCATTCCTAGTTTCCTTCACTATTTTTGTTTGTTTGCTTGTTTGTTTTCGAGACAGGGGTTCTCTGTGTAGCCTTAGCTGTCCTGGACTTGCTTTGTAGACCAGGCTAGCCTCGAACTCACAGTGATCCATCTGCCTCTGCCTCCCTGAAAGCTGGGGTTAAAGACATGCGCCACCACGTTCTGCTTTTTATTTTATTTTATTTTTTTATTTAAACATTTAAGTGCTTTTTATTTAGCACAATCGTAGTCTTCTGCAACTGTTGCCAGCCTTAATTCCAGGACATTTTAACACCCAAAAGAAAACCGGAGACATTGAGTGGCCTCATTCTCTTCGTCTTTCACCAGTTGCCTTTCTACCCAGGATTTGCCTGCTTCTAACATCTCTGAAGAACGGTAGTGAAGCACGTGGCTTTGCACGTGTGCTGGTAGCATGCGTTTCCCAGATCCCTCCAGGTCGAACCATCTCGCAGCTCTTCGTTCTTTTCTAAGGCTAGATAATACCTAGAAAATGAGTCTACTGAGCTCCCCACACCCAACAGCTGTGAATGGTGCTGTGAATATTTGTATACCACCTTTTGTAGGAGCATCTGTTTTTAATTTCTTGGGTAAATACCTTGAAGTAGAGACACTGAGTCATTGTTGACACATAGCGCTTCTGTGTTGCGTTTTTAAATTATGTCACGAATATTTCCCATGTTATAAAATCGCAGTATAGGAAAATATCAGGATTTATTGACTAATTTTCCACTGTTACACATAAGATAGAGTCTAGTTTTTATTATTACAGGTAAAACTTCCAAGCAAATCCTTATATGTAAATGTTAATTTATATTTCATTATACCCTTGGGATCAGTTTCTAAGTTGACTACCACAGTAAAGAAGACAGATTTTTTTCGTTTACTTTTTTAGTAATGTTTACTGTATTCTTCTCCAATACAGATAGGCATGTTCCTAAATGAATGAATCCTACCAAGTGTGGTGATACATCCAGTAGCCCCAGCACTCAAGGAGGTTGAGGCCAGAACAGCTCAAGCCTCAGGCCAGCTCTGTAACGTGAATCTCAAAACAGAAAGGTAAAACAGAGCATGAAGTGAATCCTGGCTACCTTCCCTTCCCACAATCTCATTCCACTGATCAACACCTTTGGGCATTCCCTGGGTGTCCTTAAACTTGTTCTCCGTGTTTATACAATGTGTATATAGTTGGTTTGGGTTTGCTAATACATATGTGTGTGTGTTTGTGCATATATATTTGTAAATATGCAATGAGTATATACATAGCAGTTTTTTTATAGTTTCACAGTCTCATAGAGTAGTCAATAGTCATAATTGACTTTTGATTCTTAAAATGTGGCTGGTCTGAAATGAGATGTATTACTGAAATAAAGTAGATATCATGGGCTAGTGAGACGGCTCAATGGTTAAGAGCACTGGTTGCTCTTCCCGACGACCCAGGTTCGATTCCTGGCACCCACATGGCAGCTCACAGCTGTATGTGACTCCAGTTCCAGGGGATCTGACACCCTCACACCAATGCACATAAAATAATAAAATAAAATAAGAAACAGACATCACACTGTGAAGACTAAGTGTTAAAAATGCCAACCACTTCATTAATTTTATTCTCATTGCATAGTTTAAAAATTCTTTGACATTTTGAATAAAATGACAAAAACTAATTTCAAAGCCCTATGAGATCGCTCAGCTGGTAAAAATCACTTTCGGCACAAAGCCTGACAACCCAGGTTCCATCCTCAGATGCCACTGTGGAAGGAGAGAAGCAACTGCTGAACACCCACAATAACAACAATGACAACAACAATAAGTTTTAAAATAATTTTATTGGAGGTGGCAAGATGGCTCCGCAGTTAAGAGCTCTGCTGCCCTCCAGAAGACCTGGATTCAGTTCCCAGCATCCACAAAGTGACCCACAACCCTTCAAACCTCCAGTTCCAAAGACCCTACACCCTCTTCTGACCTCCATGGGAACCAGACACACACGGAATGTACATTCACACATACAGGCAAGATGCCCATAAATGAAAATCAAATGAATAAGTCATTTTTAAAAGGTGTTTTAAATTAATTTTCCTCTTCCTTTTTTAGTGCTCCCTGACTTTATTCTATTGAACAAAGCTATTCTAAGGCTTGGCTGTTTTTAATCTTACTATGTTGTATGGGCATTTTCTTATTATCATGCAAAGAGATCAATTTTGTTTTTTGTTTTAGAGACAGGGTCTTTCTAAGTAGCCTGAGCTGACCTTGAACACCCAATCCTCCCATCCCAACTTCCCAAATGCTGCAATTACAGGGATGAACCACAACACCCAGAAAGCTCTCTTTTGACGGCTACGCGGTGCTTGTTTGTTCTCTTCTTGTTGGACATGGGGAAACTTGCAGGTTTTCTATTGCCAATAACGCAGACAGAACATCCTGTACGCCAGAGCCTGGGAAA